CGTCAATGGGTTGTTCAGCAATGATAGGTACTTCGACCTGGACCGCAGCGGTATATAAGTATTAGAAGTCCGTATCAAGTTGTGCCAACTGTGATGTTGCTCTCCACCGCACTCGCAAGAGTACCCGCTGGCACAGTCAAATGCCATTTCTCCATAATTGAAATGAATAATCCGCCGCGAAAGGAGGCGTTCCTGGAGACACCATGCCCTGTTGAAGAGGGGGGAATACTCTTGTAACCTAGCGTAGTCTGGCATCTCGTCCCGCTTTTCACCTGTTATCAAGACGACTCTGAATTCGTCACCAAGCTCGGTTGTGATGTTATAGACTTGACTTGGGATTGTCTGAGAGTAGCAGCCTCCCTGAGAGTCATGAGACCAGCTGACGGCAATAGTCGCGTATGAGTTGCGGTAAACGTCGACCATCCGAGCAGCCTCTTTCTCCCAATCTTTCTTATCATCTTGTATGATGCAGAGTGAGTCAATCCAGAGATAGCGAATCTTGAGCTTCCTCGTAATCTCAATTGCCTGTTGGAAGCTAGGTGGAAGTAAAGCCCAAGGTATCAACTTGAGCCGCCTTTTCAGGTTGCGGGTTTCCGTTTTGGATTTAATCTTGATCTTTCCCCAGCAGTGGCTCAGACACATGTAAGTACCTGTTTGTCCAGATGTATCCACTAGACGGACTCCAAGCCTATCTCCAGGCTGAACGACATCGATGAGTCGGGTAGGCAAATTCATCTCTCTACCTCTGCCGCATTTTTCATGCAGCTCGCAGTCGTCGATCCAAGTTCGGATCCTCTGGAAGCTTACACCAGAAGAGGTATCCCCAGCCACGCCGTTGGTAGTTTGTATCCGGCGGAAGACATTAGTGGACCCCGCCATGTTGAATAATCTGACATAGTACAGTTTACCGTCTGGAGCGTTCATTTCTAGGGTGCCATTGAATCTTGCAGCCCATTGGAATGTCGTAGAGGGAGTGACTCCTCCAAAATGCTTGGTGGGTGCGCTATCCAACATGGCCTTGACAGCCTTGCAGCTTCCACAACCGTTCCGAGCTGAGCAATCCAGATCCCCGTACGTGAAAGGTTTGCCTCGGTCTGATTTCTTCCTTCCATTCTTGGTGAAGTTGTCATTTTCTGCTCTTAACTTCTCGGTGTCCGATCGGGATAATATGCTCCAAGAGTGGAAAATGGCGCACTGTTGCAAGCACCCCGTTGTTCCAAGGACGTCAAAGAAATCAAAGGATCTTGGTTTCGTGCTATCCTTCGGGGTGGACTTGAGAGCCTGTTCTAGAGATATTGATACAATGTTGACAGCCATGTTGTCCTAGTGGTTGATTCGTGTTGATGCTTCTTGAAAAGGTCAAGCCAGAAGATAGTTGGGAAAATCGAGGTCTGGAAATCAACCTAGCCCGTCACACCGCCAAGCTTGCACTCTTTCCAAACCATCTGCATATGCAAAGCGCAATCTGTGAAACCGAAGTAAGCGCTAAAGATCAGGCATCCAGTGATGAGCTCCGAACCACTTCAGCTGGACAGCGTTGGAGGCACTACGCCTCATCGAGATTGTGTGCGGCTTCTAATTGGAACCACGCTGCCTGATCTCTCCGACTCAAGGCTTCCGTTATATGCAGAAACACAGAACTCAAAGTTCCAGGCGCCTGGCATCAGAAACGCGATGCCATACTCGGCAGAATCAGCCGTTCCGTCTTCCATGAAATCCGATTTCTCCACTAGCTTCCGCACCCACACGCGATATCCTGCTGCACTCTTCGATTCTGCCCACTTCAGGTCCACGGTGGTGACATCCCGAACTTCAACGTGGAGTTGATTTGGAGTCGGCGGCTTGCCGTTGCCAGCAGTGAAGCTCCGGCCTCCTGCCGGAATACCGCCTCCATATTTTGTCCAGGAACTGATCGCTAAACCATAACGATGGCCTGCCGATAGGTCGGCGATTATCGTCGCAGTTCCTCTCACGGCAAAACTCGTCGGAAAAGATCCTGGTAATGACAGATCTACGAGGATGATCTCGTATCGGTCCACTTCGGCTTGCTTTGGAGGCTCTTCCCATTCGACAAGGACCTTGTCCATCTCAGGTTTGATGATGATGTTCCCGGGCCCTGGAGCAGTTTTCGGATGTGCAGTTGCCGAGACCGTGACAGACCAGGCGGACTGAAGGCTTTCTCCATTAAAGGTCCGGACTTTATATTGATACTCCTGTCCCTCTTGTGTCCACATCGAGTGATACTGGGCTACATCTACTCTTGTCTCATTCCACGGCTGATTGTCATCGTTGCGACTTCTGACATCGTAGCCGATAGCGCCGTATACTGGGTCCCATTTCGCAGAGATTCCATAGGAAACTTCTTCCGCAACAACATTCGCCGGCACTGGCGTCGGTCTTTGTGGGATCTCTTGCGGTATAGTGAGCTCTTTGATTCCAAGGCGAAACTTTTGGGTCAAAGTGTGAGCGAAAGCTTTTGAAATTTGAAACTCGCCCAAAGCACTTGGATGTAGTCCATCGTAACTTCCTTCGGAACAAAGGTATCTACGCCGGACCTCCACCAACTCGATCGGGGACTCAAGAGCTGTCCACTTTTCGATTGATATTCGAAGAAGCTGGTTGTATTCTTCTACCATAGGAGGAAGCCTCTCTGCCCCGTCAACTGGGGTTCGCATCGGTACGTCAGCAAGAGCGAATTTGACATTTGATTTTGCAGCGCGTGCATTAAATACGAGCTCCTTCATGGCATCGAGAGTGTTCTCAGCGTCTGCAACACCCCAGCCCATATCATTGAATCCAAGCATAACGAGCAGATAGTCAGGCCTGAATCGCGCAACCTGCTCCTCGATGAGATCCTTGCATTGCGTTACCTGCCGACCCCAGACTGAGAAGTGGTGAGAGTTGAACTGCACACCCGCAGCATAACCACCATGGTCTATTGGTGCATCAGGTGCTGGCAGTGGATCGTCTTTGAGAGCCGGTGGCTGCGGTGAGTGAGGTTGATCTGGAGTCTTGGTTCCCTTGTAGGGGCCAACAAATTCGAAGTTGATACTCTCTTCGTTCAGCCATTGCCATAGCCTGTATCGCCATGTGAAGTCCCCTTCACGACCGTGGGACATGGAGTCGCCGACTATCATGACCCGAACTGGCCGGGGACTTTCTTGGATCATGTCACCCATTTGAAGACTATAACTGGGGTTTCGCCTCGTCCAGTGGGAGGTAGGAGTTGCTATGTATCTGCTGGTGTCGTCGGCAAATCTTCAAATCCGACTGAAAAGTCGAAGTTTACGTTGTGAAGTGCAAATCGCGCACTGAGGAGGGACCTTCATGTCGTCATAGCACGGACGGCAACATCAAGTAGCGAATCGCATCGCGACGCCATCTAAACTTTCGACAGCAGGCCTCTACTCCTCGACCAACTTATGCGAAGATCGACTTCCTATTTTAAACAAGTGTCCTAGTCCGGCTTTAGACTTAGCAAGGATGGATTCGAAGCATTAAGCTTGTCCAAACTTCAGCGGATTTAACCTGCGCACTTGAGCAGGGTCAGCCTGGGCAGATCTGCCTGGCGTCCTGGATGTGGGGTAGGTAATAGGGAGAGAGAACCTGCATTCCACCGAGCATACCTACTCGTTTAGGGCGGGACCATAATCTACCCTAAGATAATATTGCAAAACTTTCGAAACGGAAACATCAATATCCGATATGGTGTAGTGGCCAACATGATGCCCTCTCATTATCTGGAGAGGTTAGGCATAGCCCCGAGTTCGATTCTCGGTTTCGGAAATCCTTTGATTTTGCAGCAACTATAGTGCCACCATGAAGTAAAATAAACTCGGAAATGGTCTAAACGTCGCGCACATCCCTTTTTTGTCTTTTGCAGCCTTAAATACCTTACTGAGCTTGAGTTAATTCCTTTTGTTTGGCTTCATATTGTTTAAATAGTACTTCTGTGTCCTCCAAGTAGTAAAATACGTCTATTTCAGCGGGCCATCCAAACAATCCCACAGTTCCTCGCCTCTTGCTTTCTTCGACCGTTGCCTTGCTGCTCCTTTTGTACGAAACTCTTCTTCGACTTCCCTACTCCTTCGAAATGATGTGAGGGTTCGTGGGAGGACCGTAAGCTTCGGCCGCGTCTCTCTTGGTATCAACGGCGGGGATATGCGGGTTCAGAGGAGGACCGTAAGCTTCGACAACAGTGTCCTTCTTTGAAATGATGTGAGGATTGGTGGGAGGGCCGTAAGCCTCAACAGCATCCTTTTTCGAGATAATGTGAGGATTGACGGGAGGACCATAGGCTTCAACCGTGTTTTCTCGTTTGGACTCAACGGCCGGGATGTGAGGGTTGAGAGGAGGGCCGTACGCCTCAGCGGCAACCGGCGCGGCGTAAGCCAATGAAGCGCAAGCGGCGACAGCAGTAAGAAGGGTTTGAACACGCATTTTGAAGTAGAGTGAGGAGAATGACTATGGTGTTGACGTTTCAAAGCAATGGTGCTAATTTTGAGCACAGTGGACTGATGGTGCTACGACTATCAGTCAAGATACATGCATTCTTATATGTCTTCCTCAAATCCCAAGCTCCCCTCTCTCCGTCCTTTCTCTCCGGCTCGGCAGAATCAACATTCACGAGATGGAAGTCATAAGCACCCCTTGCGTTGACAAGATGCAATACAACGAGCAGGACGCCCGCGGAGCACATGCACGAAACAGACGCCGCCAATGTAGCAGTCAAGAATCCTTCGTGTCGTTCCTTCGGCTTGATATCACGCCTCAAGCCAAACAAGGCATGCGTAAAGCTCACATAAAGCAGTGAAGCCATTCGCGCCTGGCTAGACTCACTTCTCTATGTTTTGACTGGTTAGTACAAGCTAAACAGGGAACGAATCTTCTAGCCACATGGAGAAGGTAAACACACATCCCACAATGCCAAGCACCACACAATCCAGAGTTACCGAAACATTTGGGCATTCAACAAGACTCATTGACAACTAGTGTCATTCGCCAGTCGGCTAAGCATCTGCGCCGTAAAATCAGTTCGTCTTTGACCTAGCGCCACTTCCCTTCACTAGCCCTTGCCGCGGTGGGATCAGTTACCGGGGTTCAAGAGGATTTGTTATCTCTCCTTTCGCCCCTCTGCCCCTCACTCATGTTGGACGCGATATGCACCTGCTTACTTCTATGCGTCTCAAATCCACCAGACAGAATTGAGTGATCGGCCCGGTTCTTCTGCCCGACTTCTGAGTTAGCCCTTCCCAAAGGCTCGGAAGGCAAGGGCTCGCCCCCTCAGTGTCGCGGAATGGATCTCATTTCGTACTCAATCGTCACATTCTTGGCAATCCTTCTCGCTCTTGGCGAATCCTTCAGTCATCCTCATTTGTCACTTCAATTTGAGACCGCCGTATCATCCTTCGAGGAGAGGCTGGCTTTGGTATTGATTACTAAGTCTTGCAAGCAAGGCTTGACAGTATTTGGCAGGCGATACCATCGCAACTGACGATTACAAGTGATCACGGCATGATCGGCAAAATCCTTCTCTTCGCTATCGGGAGCAAGAGCCCCGAATCACCCCCAATATCTTCTGTCGGACAGTGAGGCTCAAGCATTTGAGGCAGGGAAATTCTAAAGTCGAAACTTGCCTCCAGCATCGACTACTTCTTTGCCAAAAAATGAAAGAGGTTTATCATAGTGTCCCAGACCGAGACTCAAGAGACGATTTGTCCAGCCCTGTAAGCCACAGGAAATCCACATACTCGGAGACCTACATGATAGCTTACTGACAGACTCTAGTCATCATGGCGTGAGTCGCGACAAGTTCGAGGGCAATGGAGCCTTTATTCTAAAGTTATCATTGCGATCAACGCGATATTCTTCTTCACATCGTGTGGGCTCCTGTTCATCTCTTGGAGATGGCTCAATGACCCGGTCCGGCTGATGAAGCGCGTTTCGCCTTACAGCAAGACCTTTTTCTCCTACCTGAGCCTAGAGTTCTTCTGATTAACATGCATCACAGGCCCGATTCTCGATGAACTCCCCATCCGGCTAGAAACAGTCGAGGTCAAAGGAACATTGTTCAACGATTACACACCTCCACGCATTTGGCGCGGACCACCCAGTGATGAGGTTGATAAAGCCTGGGATGATATGGCGCGGATTGAGTATTTCGGCGTAAGCGGCGATGCGCTCAGGAAGATGGGAAAAGACCCTAAGATCTCTGTTTCTATCCCTGAAGATTGGGGTGTCGGACCAGACAAGTACCTCGTTGAGATCGACATGCAACATCAACTCCACTGCCTCAACGCAGTGCGCAAGTACGCTTACTTTGACTTCTACTATGGTGATCATTACAAGAACATGTAGGTTTTCTCTCCAGTCTATATCGCCGTGAGGTGTCATGTGAACGTAGGTTAACTATTAGACTAGCTCAATGGCGCCTCAACGACACCAGGCACATTTGGAGCACTGCGTAAGTCTGGGGCATAGACAGAATGTGCCCCTTTCTAACACGTTGAATAGATAGATATACTCTTACAAGCTCTCACTTGTAACCCGAGCTTGGATTTGATCTCCCATAATTGGATGAAAACGCAAGAAAACCCTTATCCGGATTTCAATATCAAGAGGCAATGTGTGGCACATGATCCAATTTTGAAGTGGCAGCATAAAAACGGCATCTCGGAGCAGATCCTCAAATACAAGAACCTACCAAAGCCAGAGGGGTTTCCAGAAGTAGATCCGGAACCATCCATTCTGAAAATCGGAGAAGACTTGGGGCATCACGACTAACATCTTAGTCTCTTTTGAAGGGAAGCTTACAATGCTCTCACTCATTTCATATGCAGACACATACGAGGGCCTCAGCTTGTTTCGATTGCGGACGTCTTGAATTCGCTCATAATGTATATTTAGGTTATACAATAAGGCAAAGAGGGTACATTTACTCATGTCAGATTTGGAGTTCAACGTAGGTACGAGTACATGACTACTTAGACTGTCCGTTGAAAACTCTCTAAAATAACTCAAAAAGCGAATTGGACGAAAGCATTAGCCAATTTGAAGACAACGTACTCTTTAGCTCGTCGTCTGAGATGTGATCTTAGCCGCGTTATCTCCGTGGGCCTTGAACTTCCAGGTATTGTGGAAACAACTCTCTGCACAATCTCCGTGATGAGTCGTATGAGGATCATAATGCATGCGGTTCTTCTTCAAGCACGCCTCCTTCAAGTTACCATGGTTATTCTGTGGCTGGTAGTGTTCATCGTTATGAAGGCGTCGGTGTAGAGACTCATGCAAGATTGCGTTGCGAGGTATGTCTCGAGCACCGCCCTTGTTGAGTGGCCACTGGCAAATTTTCCACTGCCTGGAATCGTCGTCGAGTTCCCATCTTTTGATAAGAGGGCAAATTTCTGCAAAAGAAAAGCCATCACGTCAGTTGTCTGGCTCTGGTCAAGACACTTTGCCTTCGAGAGGCGGAGTCACTTACCAAGGAGGTACCACATCAACGGCTTAAAGTAGCCCATTCCCTTTCCAAGTCGAAGGAGGTCGTGAATCCATCCATTCAAAGCCTGCTCCTGCTTCATCTTGTCCTGGTAGATGCTGAACTTGAACCTTTCCAAGCGCCTTGGCCGCCACTTCAGGCCTGTCTTGCCCGTCTTCGCCTCATACTCCTGGTCCGCGAGTTCAAGCTCACGGATCATCCAGGAAAGAGGAACGTCGCTCAGCTGCAGATCCTCAGTATCATCGAGCTCCTCCTCCTTATCTTCTCTTCCAAAGAAGCTCAAAAACTTATTCCAAAAAGTTGGGGTTTTCAAGTAGTCGGGATAATCATCAATCCTAGCATCGTTGTTCTTCGCCTTCTCATCTTTGATCCGTTTGAATTCTTTGGCTTTCCAGTTTGGGTCATCTTTGATAACCGACCAGCCGCCGCCAACGTCGCCATGATTACCAGGGAACCAGACCTCCTTGATATCTTCTTCGTGGTGGTGCTTTCCCCTGGAAACCTCGGCGACATCTTGCGCGAGAAGCGCAGGCTTGAACTTGACTCGGAACTCGTCCACGGCAACAGCATGACGGACATAGTTTGCGGTACCCATCACTGAGGACGGCTTGTCGCCGACCTGCTCGAGAACTGCCACAGAGTTGACGCAATCCCACATGCCGAGAAAGAAGACCTTAATATTGTCTCTTCCGTGATCACTCTCTTCCTTGCGACAGAAGGCCTTGCTGAAGGCCTTGATCTCATCCCTCTTGCCCCTCTTCCTCCAGCCCTTGGGCTTTTTGCCTGCGTCACTGGAGCTGCTGATTCCGTTGGGGAAGGCTTCGTCAACTGGCGTGTATGGTGGGCTCACAGGCGTGGCTTCCTGGATATCAACGGTGGGATCCTTTGTATTTTCGGTCGCTTGGGCACCGCCGACACTGTTCTCGTTGTTTTGAGCGCCACCCTTGCTTTTTATATCCTTTTCTTTGTCTTTGGACAGGCGGTTCTGATAAAGCTTGTATGCAAAGGGTACCATCTCTTCGTTGCCTTTGCAGAGAAGACCAACAGTGTTGACCATACGAGCCAAGAACCTAGCGGTGAAGGCTCCACGACTGAACCCGAAGATGTAGATTCTATCTCCCTTCAAATAATAGTTAGCGCCATTGCTTGCAGGTACCCGTAAGTGTGATTTGAAACCTACAGTCTCGTAGTAGCGCATAAGGAATCTGTATCCAGCGATGACATGGGAATCGAATGTGGTACCAAAGCCCATGTCGATCTTCTGTGAGATGCTGCTACGCATTTCGCTGACCCAGTTCTTGTTGACGCTGGTATCGTCGACATCGTACGTTCCGATGCCAGCTGTTTTCAATGGAGCGTCAGAGACTACTCATAAACTTTTTCAGTGTTGATCGTTCTACATACTCTGGTAATAGTGGTACTGGTGTTTGTCGTTGCGGTCAAGCATACGCAAGAGCTTCACCACGTTGGTGTCAGAGCCTGAGCCACTGAAAGAGTTGCCTGTGCCATCGAAACAGAGAACGAGCTTCCTGCTCTGGGTCGACGGATCAGTCTCGATAGACGCCATTTTAGTGATTGTCTCCAAATTATGGAGTGAGAGGGACAATGCTAGAAGACGCTTGGGTTTTGGAGTGGACCTTGAAATTTCTTTATCGTTCCGCCCTAGAGAAGGGGTGCTCAAGTCAACCATATATGCATTTTCATAGCCATTGCTAAGTCAAAAAGATTTCACGTGAATTGGGTTTTCGCACTCTTCTCGCACTCTTCTTCATGTTATTGCTTGCAACGAAAAACATCCAATCGCAGACTGGAACGCCGCGAAAGTTCAGCCATAATTCCTCCATTCCTTATTCCCCATCCCGAAAGCAGTTTGAGATCTCAGCCCTGTATCACCGTCCCGGGGACTAGAATGTCTTGCCAGCCATATCCGCTCACAACGGATCGTAAAGCAAATTGCGTTTTCAGAATACGATCTCTGCATGTGGGGAAGATCTCCCGCTCCAACGCCTCAGCTGGCCGCGCCACGTCTGCTTCGGTCGTAGGAGCATACCTTCTCACGTGCCTTTGCAGTTCAGCCCGGCGTTGAGACAACCTATGCGAGACACACTTGGCATGTGAAACCTGACTTAGCTCGACTTGGTGAGATGTCTCGCGCGGACTCTGTCGAATCATGAGGGTCTGATTGGAATTTCCTCTTTCCAGAATTGGTTACAAGAAGCATATCACTGTGCTCAGACATGAAGGCGCGCCGGATCATCCCGTCGGCCGATGTTTGTGGGAACGGCAGAAGAAGGATGATAGGTGTTGTTTCGAAAGATGGTTCATCATAGCTCTTAGCAGTGACCGCAATTGCTGATTTACTTTCAAGCCCTGGTGGCTCGGCCAGTCTGACTCTGGGACTTGGAAGGGCTAGAGCGGAATCTTACAACTGCCTTGGGCCCCGAAGACCTCGACGAGAACCCGGGTCGTCTTGAGAAGTTGCTGATCCCGGAGCCTTGGGCCTACGAGTGACATGCCCACAGGCATACTGTTGGCCCCGACAAAGACGGGTACGTTGATGCCAGGCATATGAAAACCCTATTCAGATCAAGCCTGACGAGTTCGTGGGAGATGCAAGAGGAACCTCTCACCGTCCATATCGTGTTGAAAGTCGCGCAACCCATGTTTCCATGCCCAACAGGGGCCTCGTCTACTGCGCTAGGGGTAAGAATGGCCGTGTATTCTCTGGCCAAATTATTGAAAACGTGTCGCATATGAGAATACATATTTGAAGCCTTCTTCCTCTCTCCATGCTCTATCTCGGAGGTGTTCTCGACAATATCGCGAATCTCTGGGGCTAGGTTGTCCTTGTCTAAACAGTATTCTTCAAGGGAAGAAGTCCGGGCTTCAGCTAGAATAATGAATTAGCTCCAGTGCATTTCCGCCATTTCGGGAGGAAATCAGACCTCTTCCACCTTGATTATCTTATCTCGAAGGATAGTTGCGGCCTTCTCCATGGCAGAAATGGTGCCAGGTTCTGCCGCGGGCCATATTGGAGTCTTCACCAAAGCGATTGAGATTTCTTCAAGCGGCATATCTCTTGCGGGCTCATCATCTTTGAGACCAAAAACATCGGCAAGAAGCTGTAAGTCTTCCACGCATCGAGCAAAGAAGCCAATCGTGTCGAACGTGGGCGCAATGATCTTCTGGCCTTCCATCGAGATGGCGTCGATCGTTGGCTTGAGGGCATGAACTCCCGTAAACGACGCCGGACGCATGAGGCTACCGCCGGTCTGCGATCCGAGACTGAGCGGAACATGCATGGACGCTACCACTGCGGCTGATCCGCACGAAGACCCGCCGGGGGTGCGCTTGGGTCACAAGGATTAGTAGTGTCAGGTCCCGAGTTAGTCACGGCGAACAGTCGTGGTTGTTTTCCCTGTTGATATGATTAGAGTTTGTAAGAGCAGAAGTAAAGGGGCCACAAACCGATGATCAGGGCTCCCGAGGCGCGAAGGTTTGCGACGGCGGCAGAATCAGAACTTGGCTGATGCCCTCGATAGATAGGAGAGCCGTACTCCGTGGGTATATCTAGTCTGTGTAAGCTATATATCCAACATCAGAGCTGAGTCCTACCCTTGGTGTCCATGATATTCTTTGTTCGGATAGCAAGTCCATGCAAAGGCCCCCTCTGATCGGCAGGCACTTGATCAAGAGTCTGGGCCTGAGCAATCACGAGGCCGGGGTCGGGAGAATAGTTAGAAAGGTTTGTGGCCATCGTGCTCTAAAAACAGGTACTCACCAAGATGCACCCATGCTTTGACAATGTCCTCGTTCTCACTGACGCGGTTGAGGAGAGCCCTGGCGTATGTCTTCACAGTGATTGTGGTGGTGTTGGACAGCTCGAGCATCTGAGTTGTCGTCATTTGGTGCAGTGCCGACTCCATAGTTGGGCTGGGATAGTGTCAACTAAGATCACTTACGGATGGATAGGAGAGCAAGCTTCTTAAATAGATATGAAAGTCTAGTAATAATTCTGGCCAAGAAAAGGGAGGAGGGAAGGCACAAAATTCAGGACAACCTGGCGGGGTAGAACTGGCGAGATACACCAGGGGCTAGTGCGGGCAGGCGGCACAGTTACTCGCTCAATTTGGTTCATTCTGCTATGAATTTGCATTTCGTCCTTTGTCTACTTGATTGTCTAACCCAATCCCACCCGTTTGTCTTACGGAAGATTGTAAGCTCAAACGGTGGATATCAACCTTAGAGATTGCACGCCTTGGAACCAATTGTAGACGCAGAAGTATATTGGTAGAAGATGCTATTGAAATGCAGGATATAAATCTCATAACACGACGTATTCAAATGGCTGTTCCTCGACCTTGGATCTGCAAGTGAGTAAGCTTCAAGATGAATATCTGAGCGTTTCTCCTCTCCTTAAACTAATGCACAACCACATCGAACTATGACCCCTCTGCTGCAACTATCGTCAACTGACGGTCAAAGGAGTGTAATGTAACGACAGCCTCATGTCGTTACTGTCTGATCGTACTGCGAGGCGGCTGGTGATATCTACTTCTTCCTCTCAGATGGTAGATAAGAAGAACTTCGCCTAGTGAATGGCAGCAAAGGCAAAACCAGCAGCTGCGAAAGCAATTGCAGCCATTCCGGTCTCTCGTGGAGCAGCGTTGGCAGAGCCGGTACCAGAAGTAGCCGCACTTCCGCTGCCGGTAGCCGAAGTTCCAGTATCAGTAGGTGCAGGAACGGCATCAGTCGTAGTCGCAACCACCGTACCATCAAGGGCACGACTGAAATCCGACACGGCCGAGCAAACCGGGCCGTATTTCTCGGCAAGGGAAGCGATCGTCCCGACAAAGTCCTCGCCCTTGCAAGCGGACCACACCACGGCAAGCTCGCTGCTGTGAGCGCTTGTCCAAGATTGCAACCCGGATGTGAACGAGGTCAATATGGATCCGGGCACACCGGTAAGCGTGGGAATCTCGCAATTTGTGATGGTTGGGATATCGTCTTCGTCGACGCCCGATGCGGACAACCTGGGAAGATCTGTGATCACAGAGCCATGGTCCACGATAGCATCGGCACATTCTCGGAGACCACGGTTCTCGAGGCTGGCTGCCATGGCTCCAGACGTGGCAGCGAGAAAGAGGATGTTGGTGTAGCGCATTGTTACTTTGGGTTGTTGGGTATTGTTGGAAGAGTTGCGAAGGTTCCGAGATGAGTTGATTGCGGCTCAGAGGCGTCTTCAAGAAAAGCTTCCTAGTTCTGTGGAAGATGATGCTAGAGGATGAGGAGCTAGGTTTTCTCGAGAGAATCTGGGCTTCTTTCCCACGTTTTATACTAGAATTAGGATATCCTAGACCCGCGGACGATAGGCCACGACTTCATTTCCCAACAACTTGAGCGTGATCGTCAAAGTTCCTAGATACACTCCGCCTCACTCTTCAATATTTCATGTACATCCACTCTCGATTCCGTTCTAAGCCGATGAGAACTGCAGATTCATTTCAGCAACAGCCAAACGGGCGAGGGCGAAGTCCTTGCTGACGGCCTTTTCCGGCGATCATAGTCAAATGAGCCCGGCCTCGTTGCCAGCTGTCTATGGGATCTCACTCTTTAGGACTGATGAGAGGTAGATTTATGGCAGCCTGCCTATGTAGGATCCTACAGTGCCACAACATCTCCCCCAACATGCTTACATCTATGAATAAACGCAAAGCTCACTTGTCCTATCCCTACAACTGCAGCAGCCCGATTGATTACCGTAGCTGCGGCTCAAATATCCCCTTGTTCCATATTGCACCACCGCGCTCGAACTGCTCTCTTCTGAAGTCCTGGACGAGGTGTACGAAACATATGTTACTACCTCAAGTCGTTCCGTGAACCTTTATTGGGAGAGATACTAAACCACGGTCCACTCCGATCATATGCGGTACGTTTCTTATTGTAGGCATGCAGGTGAAGTTTACTCATTGATTCGAGTACACGGCTGTAGCAGCCTGATTCTCTCGGCTCCGAATCCCATTTGTCATCTTGACCAACAAATTACATCTGCTCCGTATATCCTGCAAAGACTTTCCTTCCCCAATCAACTCTTGCCCGCTGGGTGTACAAGATGCCTAGCTGAGAGAGTCTGCATTTGGTAAGACGCCACGAGTTTGTTCACGAGACCTGTTCGAAGGAATGAACGTGTAGCCCCTGCATTTGATAACGAGACTTAAGTTTACTCTCCAAAGGCTGCTAGGTCCCTCAGAGCCGGTTTGAAACTCTATACACTCTGGGATACTGTAAAAGTCAGTTGCTGCCTACCCTAATAGTGTCATTTTTGTGACTGCGTGTAGGTTCTTTTGCCAATACCTTTAAGTAGACAGGATTGGTTTACTCCTTGGGTTGATAGGACGTATAACGATGTTACGACAGCTGCCATAGCCTGCCTCAAGTAGCTATTCGTAGGATCTCGCTGCCTAAGTAACTATCCCCCAACTCTGTGCTTCCAACGGGCATGCAACGTCTTTCTGTCCAGGACCAATGAGACGCGAAGCCGTCGTAGCATAATTACTGCGGGTACCAGCCGGAACATGCCTGCCCAATAAATGCAAAGTTCTTTTGTTCTAGACCAATAAGATCCGTGGTAACGTTGGATGCGGCTCAGCCCCGAGGACCCTCCCCGGACCCCGGCAACGTTATCTCGTAGCGTCAGCAACTCACAAATCACGCGAGTGTCTTGTCTCTCAGACATCGCGAAAGCGCGGCTCTTTTCCCCAATCATCAACTTTCCTCCCTTTCTTTTCAGCCCTACTGTGATTGCCACCTCTGTTAGCCATGTTTTCCTCCTTTGCGCATCATGAGAGCCCTCGCGAAGGCCCTTGCGAATACCTCCTCGAAACCGAAGCGAGTGTGACGACGCTTGTACCGCCGGCCGCCGCTCAATGCTCCAGTAACATGGACACTCACTCTCACTCAAGCGGCATTAGCCTTGTCAAGAGCACGCCGTACGCCACGGAAGAGGTCTGGAAGGTCATGCAAGCCACCATTACCCGACTGTACCAAAGCGAAGGCAAATCGTTAAAGGAGGTTAAAGCCATCATGGAACGCGACCACTTCTTCTTCGCCACGTGAGATACCTAAGCTTCTTGATTTTTCTGACACCTGACTTAGTCTACCGTACTTCCCTGGGCCTTGAATGACTAACAGTTAGGTACTCCGTAGAGAAAGAATGTTCAAGTCCCGCATCGTTCGATGGGGCCTAGACAAGAAGCTCAAAGAGCCAGAGGTCCTGCACATGCTAGAACTTAAGCGAAAGCGCCAAGCGACGGGGAAGGACTCACGCTTCAGCATCGAAGACCAGGACGTCGACTGGGACCGCGTAGAGCAGTACCTCAAGCGCAGACCGGACCTGGATTCCAAGCAAAAACACACGCCAACCAAGAGCGCTACCTTGAAACGGAAAATCACCTGCAGGACACCCTCCCCATCTCCAAGGCAAAGCCCAGCGTCACACGCCTCCGCAGCCCCTATCATCATCACCCTCATCCCCTCTCTGCCATCTCCATCTTTAGAAACCGACATCCAAGCAGACGTCCTCCTCGTCTTCAGCACGTACCACACATCCGCCTTCCAAACCGGCACATGGGTCCTCGACGACGCCCACCTCTGCGAACACGACTTCATCCACGTCGTACAAATCCTCACCGAAATAGGAAAAGTCCCAGGCCTCCTGGCGCGAAAACAGATTCCTACTGGCCTACGAACCCTCCGCCGCGCGCTGAGTGCCTTTCGTCACGTCCTCTTGATCCGTGAGCCGCGGTTCTACTACTCCATGCTCGTGAACATCCTCACACTACAGGGTAACGTCCAGGTGCTGGAGTACTCTATCCGGTACATCTACGCCATCCACTGTGAAATTCTCGGCGATCGACACCCGTTGAGTATAGTCTGGTCTAAAATCAGAGACCTCCCGCAGGAAACCCGTCTCGAGACGTTGAGGAGTGTATTCGCCGTCATCTGTGTCCAGTTCGAGGCCGAGCAGGCAGCGGCATTTAAAAGCGAACACGCGTTAGACGTGCTCATCATGAGGTGTTCCCTGCTCCGCCTTCTCGGCAACGTGGAGGGGGACGAGTTCGGCGCCGTCATCAGGGGCTACACTGCTGCCGCCACGGAAGCGCTAAAACAAGACGACTATGAGTTATCCTGCAGGATCCTATTGGGCGTGGCGACTGCGCTGCTGGATGCTGGTGACGTCGAACAGGCGGAGAGGACGTTGTGCCAGATTGGGTCTACTATCAAGGTCCAATCTAGGGTTGCTGCACGTGGTACCAGAGCTAGCAACAGGCAGCAGCAGCAGCATCAGCATGACATGGAGCAACTGCTTGAGACCCAGCAACTTGATCGCTGCTCTGCGAGTTCGTTATGCTCACAAATGACTCGCTATAGTGAAGGGGCCAGTGAGACGAAGATTATATACGGGTATTATAAAGGACTCTGGGAACCGTGGAGCAGATGGTCTCCCGTGGTAGTGAAGAGGGTTCTTGACACGCATCGTCGAGCACGGGAACAAGATGTGTGGGCTGCGAGGCTGTGGGCGGACGTTCTGCTTTCTGTGCGGTGATGTTGTTGATAAGCTCTGAAGCCATTGTCAACCAAGTCCAAGACAGGTCAGGAGAGGGAGGTTGGTATCAACCGCACAGAGTGACCCATGTCGCCATCTTAGGATCTACTACCCAACCTCGCAGAAGGTACAACAGTAACACATTCACATGGGACTGGGCTGTTTACGGAGGTGGAGTCAAAGTAAAGTCAATCTAAGTTTGTCTTGATTCGTTCATCAAGTCTCCGTGGAGACAGACGCATGTCAATATTGCGCGCTTGCAGACTTGACGAGTTCCTAATTCTCATAAAGATCATGGGAGTCGACAGAAATGCCGCTGCCTGCGTAACCAAGCTTCGGCCGTAGCCAGAATACCCGCTCCCATGTCGGCCCTACTCATATATCCAACTATCCTCCTCTTGATGTTGCAGAACTCTTTCAAACGCCTGAGAAAACTCCAATTTCCATGCCCTAGCCGGCAGATGCGAGAGTGTCCATGACCCTAAGCCTATACAAGAAGTACATGTTTTGCAACATAAATCCCCAAACCCCCAAGGCACCCAGTTTTTTGGTTTGCTGTCATCCCCGCTGATCTTCAAGTGGCGGCGGTATTAACCCGCGCCCCATGGTGAAGATGGTGGAATGAATGCAAAGAAACAAAGATCTAAAGTAAAATGGTAAAAAACGTGATAGAAATAGCCAGCGCTTCTGACAAAGAAAAAGTTGCGCGAAAATAGTTAAAAGCGGCGTGTTCAAGGTAATCCAATCTGAACGCGCGCTGCCAACGATAACAGAAATCAGCGCATAGTATTAAAGTCCATCTCCGTACTTATGCCGGAAAGACCGGGCATATCGGAATTCGCGCGCTGAAGAGCGTGGAAGTCTCCTACGGTGCGTGGTATCGGTTGTTGCTGAATAGCATAGCTATTTGCACGCTGCGGTTGTTGACGGGGTATGGAGTTCATGAGGCTGTTTCCACCTGGACCCACAGGATGGGACGTCGGCATTGTCTGCTGGGCCTGAACTGATGGTGGGCTGATATTGCCCATGTTCTGACCTTGCTGAATGTTGTGGATATGATGCTGGCTCATATTGGGCTGCATTTGTTGTGGCGTCATGCACTGGTTCTGAATCATGTGATGCGATTGCTGGTGTTGATGCTGATTGTTCATGTTACTCTGACCGTTCATTGCCGATCCGTTTTGGCCAGCCGGGCTCATGACCATATCGGGCATCGGCGTGCACCCGTAGTCGTTCATTCCGTTGTGGGGATACTCCATTGGTGGAGACATGATGGCGGGCGAGCTACTGACAAAAGGCGAGTTCATATCCGCAGTAGTCGCTGGAGGAACGGAGGATGCACTGGCAGACGTGGCAGGTATGGTGTTGGCCTCACTGCCGTTGCTGTTTATATCGGACACGCCATACTTCTTTTCGTAGTCGGCAACGGAGAATTTCCGTTCGTAGTCGGTATCCATCTGCATCTGCATTTGAGATGGAGGTTGCGCCATGCCTGCGTTTCCGAACCCATCGAAAATGTCAATGTTGCCCATGTTGGAGTTTTCGGGCGCGTTTTGCAGCATGGGGTTGGTCAGACGGGGCATAATGTCGGCAACCTTGTTCAGCAACAACGGCAGGAAGCGATGATCGCCGTGGCGGAGTACGGCAACAATGTTGAGAGTCTGGTTGAGTTGCTCCCGGGGACCGACAGTGAAAGGATCCCTTGCGGCGGGCTGAACAGCGAGAAAGTCGGTCATGTTGCAGCTGATCTCGAAAAGCTTTTCGATCTGCACACCGGGTTAATAACGGGGGGGGGAACAGATGTGAGCTTGGGGATTCTTACCAAGCCAGAGCTCATCAGCTCCATGCCTTGCCCAGGGAAGTGAGAGGCGAGGGTCATCAGAAGCTCGCGAGACAGGTCGACTGGGTAGTTGAAGTTCATGTTGTCTTCGTTGGACGAGTTTCCATGGGTCAATTGCCAGACAGTGCTCTTGAGCCACTGCTGGTTGGTACGGAGATCGGACAACTGGCCATCTTGGCAGAGGTAGGTGGGAAGGACTTCGTTCAACTGTTTCTGTAGGTTAGACACGTAGAGATTGGTACGGGTCTTATTCCAGATGGCTGTGAAGGCGTCATCGAAGGGGCGGAACAGGTTCACGAGCATGATGAAGCTGTTCAGCTGGTGGCTGAGTGGGTCGCTAGGATCATCGGCGGAGTTGGGCGGGTTGATAGTAGCCTGCAAAGTCAAAGGTCGTTGGCGTTGGATGGCGTGAGATCTGCAGAGACGGCCGTTAGTAGATGAAACAGAATACCGGTTACTCAGGGTCAGAAAGTAAGCAAATTTTACCTTTCCATGATGTAGAATAGCCAGAATAGCCGCCTTCTCCGGGAGGACTCGGCGTTATCCCATTGAGGACCGTGATACGTCTCCTCCTTGATCATGCCGTTGAAGTGCATCATGGTAGAAGCCTCTCGAAGGTAGAACCAAGCCTTGTCATGCAGTTCGATGCCGTGGTAGCAGCCGTAAATGAAAAAGTTTGTTGCAAGGGTGTTGAAGCTGATGTTGTCGAGGTAGTCGTAGCCCTTCCGAACTTGCAGAGTCTCCTCCAAAAGCAACTGGCTTGCGACGATGGTGGCACCAGGCATCACGTCGAGGTTGAAAGGGTCGCCTGTTGGCATTGACATTCCCGGCTGAAGCATCATAAATGCGCACAGCGAGGTCAGTAAGCAATAGGTATCGCGGTTCTGCTCCATGAATGGAAGTTGCTGGTCGATTTGGCGTCGGTCGAGGATAGGCATTTTTTCGTACAGATTCGCAAAGTAAAAGTCGATGCATTCTTTAACGAGCTCGCTCGAGAGCAGACCGGGGGTCGGGGCCAAGCTGACAGGGCCTGGAGGATTCGGAATGCCATTCATGCGGTTTTGAACCTTTGCCGACAAACTGGTCTGTCGCTGTGTTTCCCTCAATTCGCTGATGACCTTCGCACGGGAGCCCTTGGGGCCCTTCTTCTGGGGGATGGCATTGTATGTGCACGACAGCTGGGCAGTGTGACAGTTGCGGCATGGGTTGACGCCGTCGCATTTGACCTTGCGGCGATGGCAGGCATCGCAGGCCCGCTTGACGGCCTGTGTCATGTTGGCGACGTACGGTGAAGACGTGGTGGCGGTTGTTGTCGTCGGATTTCGACGGTCGCTCTGAGACAGTCAGACAATTGATGGTTATTCCGAGCAACGGAGACGGCTCTGTAGGGGCGCTGGCATCGACAATGAAAGTCTAGCGGGCGTTGATTGAGTTTTGCGGGGAAGAGGATTGATAAGAGAGGGTGCAGAGTGATGGAAACGGGCTTCTGGGACTGTAGGAGCGATCCGTGGAGTGTGTTGGTGAACGATGGAGTGTGTATTCGGCCCTTTCTGTATGCAGTCGCTGGGAGGGAAACGCGGGGGATGGTGCCAAAATCCGGGGCTGCGACGCCCGTTACAACCCTTTCCGTTCGTCTGTGCAGAAAGCCTGCTGTGTGAAAAGTCTGCCCAGGAGTCGAATGCCTCGATGAGTTTGCGTGAGTGTCGTCGTTTTGTCGAAGATGAAGCCCCAGACCGAAGATGATGAAGGGGAGACTGGATGATTTTTCTCGGTGAGGGTCGGTCGGATAGGGAGAGTGAGTTGCGGATTCGAGAGTTGCGTGGTGGGTGGTGTGGTTGTGAGTGGGCGGAAGGAAAGTGGACGGAGGGAAAGAGGAGGAGGGTGGACTGGGAAGGATGAGCGAGCGAGACGGGGAGGGAAATGGGAGTGGAAAAGAGGAAAGGACAGGGCAAGAATGGGAATGGGATGGACTTGCCAAGTGGGAACCTGTCGGGCAAAAAGAGACTGGACGGCGACCGGGAGACTCGAGAGGGACGACAGAGACTGAGCAGCAGTGAGGACAGGAGAGAAAGACAGCCACAATGCAGTGCTCACCAGTGGCCGCCAGGAAGGAACGGAGAGGGCCTCTTGCCTTGCTTAGGCTGTTAAGTGGGACCAGCAAGATTTTACTAGGCCCATTGCAGCTGCGGCACTAGTCTTAGTTAGGGATAGCGAGCTTGGAAAATGAGGACGGGCCTCCTTCTGCACTGTGTGGAGGCAATGTGGGTGTCTGGTGACAAACCACAGAAAATACTCGAAAATGGGCAGGAACAATGGGCAAAGATCGAGAAGGAGCACCATCTCCTAGCTTGTTTCCCCACAGTGACGTTTCGTTTACGTACTGTGTGCATCTCCCCCACTCATCAAGCCCCGTCCGTCGTTCTTACCTCCGCGCCGATGGACCACCTTCCACGTACTGTTGGCGACTTCCTCACTTTCAAGGCATCCCCCCCGCCATGTTCCTGTTGTTCATGATTTCCCTCTTTGATTGTACCAGACGTAGCAAATTTCCACCGTCAATGCAGAGGATCCCAGGAACAACAAGTTCGAAAACAAATCAGCAACACTACGGGTACCAAACACTGTCAAAGTCGGACAGTCTCTCAGGCTTAGCCAAGTGGCAGGATCTGAGGTGATTATTGATGTGACGACAGCACAAACACACGGAACACGCCGCCTGCAACGTCGTACGAAGGCTGGGGCGTCTATTGTCCAAGACGACAAGTCGCTTACAAGTCACAACGCCCAATCCACAAGCCAATCGAGTCCGCTTTCGTCGTCGGTCACCGGTGTTCGTTGTGCTGGGAAAAAACCGAGGCACCAGAAACCAGACTGTCGGTTGGCACACTGCAGGCTGCGCTGCCCCCCTCTCACCCACCTGCGGAATGGGACGAGTTGCATTTCGGAGCTCTCAACATTGAACAAGTACCATTCCACCACATTCCCGTCGTCTGGTACTCCACACGAGGCACGCCGCACGCCTGGAAGCTTGCAGACTCTGGCCGCTGGCAGATGGCAGATGGATCATGGCTGCCGTTGCCTGCCGTTGTTGTAGTTGCTCTGGCGCTGTACCCGATGAGTACGTTTCACTCCTAGTCAGCCGAGGCGCATCTTGAGGTCGATCCGAGGTTTCCTATTCGCCTCACTTTGACTGCTCTGCTCTGCCATTCTCCGGGCGGAATACTTCCTCGCTCCTCGAACGGATGCAGATTTCGTGCCCTACAGATACAAGCTGTGGGCATCATACATGTCTTGTCCGTCTACGACATGCACGCCTGATTGGCAGGCCACCTGCGCTGGCGGTCTCGTGATA